ATCTCCTACCAGTCGCTGGTGTTCACGTGATACGGCCGGCCCCACCCCCGAACGACAGCCGTCCTCCGCACTCTCGCGATCAAACAATCGCGGAGACGTGGCTGTTCCGACGGGGAGTGGCGGCACCGGCGCCTTGCTGCCGCAATCGGCGCGGAGCTCTGGCGCCGGGCCGCCAGACAGGTCCAGGCTTGCTGGCCGGACCCCGAGCAAGACGCCACCTGGACGTGTTGTCGGCCAGCCAGCCGCGCAGCCGCCCGCCTCCGTCTCCCGCCCCCGCCCTTGCCCCCCCCGCCCGGGGGCCCTCCTTTGCCCCCCCGCCGCCCCTGCCCCGACTACCTCGTCCGCGGTGGCTGACGTTCGCCTTCGCCTGTCCCGCCCCTCTCCCCGTCCGCCCCCCGTTGCCCGTTTCGCCCCCGCCGTCCCCCGCCCCTCCCGACGCCCCGCGACGACCCCCTGACCCACGCCAGCCCTCGACGACCCCCCGACTGCCACCGACGACGCTCGCCCCTCCCGCCCCCCGCCCGCCCCCTCGCGCCTGCCGGCCTGCTGCTGCCTTGTTGCTTGCCTGCTCGCTTGCCGCCTTCCCTCTCGTGGGCCCCGGAGCCGCGCGCAGCGGCCCAGCGCACTCGGAGTCGGCGCTGGCGTATGTTTCCCTCCCTCGTCTTCCTCTCCTTCCTCGCCCCCCTCACCCGCGCGAGTCAAGACGTTTTATGTGCACTCGGTGCGAGCCCTTCTTCTCTAGCCGCGGGCCCGGTACGAATCAGGGCAAATTCGTATCATGCGGCGCGGGCGCCCCCCCTTGCTCCGTCCTTCTCCGTCCTCGTCCTCCCCCTTCTCCTCCTCCCTCGTCCTCTGCACGACAAGCGCCCTGGCAAGAATCGTCGCGGGTAGCTCGTGGTGCCATGATGTGGGCGCCCCGCGTGTCTTTTCCAGGCTCCGGCCCGCGTGGAGATGAGCACGGTCTGCTAGATTTCTATATGGCCAGCTCGTTTCCGCTAGCCTGGTCTTTGTGTGCGGGCTTCAATTCAGGCTAGTTGAGCTGAGGCGAACGTAGCTTAGCTTCAATGGTTGTGCACACCCGACTTGTGCGTTGTCTCGGTGAGCTTTTCTTCACCTACGACGACTTGGAGGCGATGGCCGCTACAGCGACAATGCCGCTGGGCAGTGTGAGACGGCTGTGAGACATCGCGTCGGGGCGGGTCGAGGATTCGCTATGTTGGTGCAATTTGGGGTGTGCTTGCACAGAAATCCCGGGAAGGGGGCCCAGTGACCCCGTGGGTGAGTGACAGGTTGCGGTGGGCGCGAGCGTTTCGGTTCCGATTGCCCTTGGATAGCGGGATTATCATCAGTATTATTGTTATTATTATCATCCGCATCATCATCATCTTCTTCATCAACCTTGCCATCGTTACCGCCATCGTCATCAACATTCCTCTCCTCCTCTCCTCCCCCCTCCCCCTCCTCCCTCCATCCCCCTTTCTCTTGATAGATCCTCCCTGTCGCGCCACCAGACCTGCCCTCTGGGCGGTCC